CCCCAAAACCCCAAAACCCCAAAACCCCTATTAATTTATGTCTTCTTGATTTTTATATATTTTATATTTAATATTTTATTAAATGAATTACACCAACATAGATGGAGAAGAATTGTTCACTTCTCCTATGAGTGATCTCTCAATAAAGGAAGAAACAGCCAAAAAAGCAAAGTTCAAGGATCTCTATACATTGCTCCCCAAGTCTTACAAATTGCTTTTTATTATTGGATGATTATGAGCATTTTCTGGAGGTAAGGTTCGCAAATTAATGCTTATTCTTTACATTTCAATGTCGAATTCTAGTAATTACTAAAGACAATTTTTTCTCGTTTTTAAGATACAGACTCCTGATTTTTTTGTACTGAATCAACATTTTGTTAGTCAGTGAATACAAATAAAAGCCAATTTTGAGCAGCATAAATGGGTTTATATAGGGTTTGCCTATCCGGCATCAGCACTCTTAAGACAAATGCTCATTGACAAATTCGATCATGATGACGAAGGATATGTTCATGGTAATAAATTAATTTTGAAATATCTATTTTTTAATAATCATCTAAAATGACCCCTCTTTTCCTAATTGCTTTATACAGTGTGCTAACATAACTTGGAAGCATTAAAAATGCAGATATTTTAAATTGAATTTTTTTTAGTTATTTTAATTGCTGATTACTTTTGTGTAAGTTTTTATTAAAAATAAGAGTATTCTTCTATAAATATATATTCAAATTAATAAGTCGTAAATAAGATTACACTCTTATCCCAATTTTAGAGAAAGCGATTATGTATGCATGGATTTTCGCTGGAGTTGCTGGAATATCATTTATTGCCAATTTTATCCACTACACCTGCTTCACCCTAATTGGAAAGAAAATATCCTGCGAACTAAGGTAATTACAAAGTTTGCAATTCTCTAGGTGGAGATACATCAGAGCTATTTTGAGGCAAGACAGTGCTTGGTTCGATGGCCAGACTATTGAAAGCATTCCTTCTTCTGTGCAAAGTAACTTAAAAGATATTGAAATAGGATGTGGGAGAATTATTGGATTTGTAATATTCAGTATTGGATCCTTTATTTTTGGATGAGGTGCCACATTTGCAATTGGGTGGCTTTATTTCTTCTGTATATTAGGTCTTTTACTGTATGTGGGCCCATTATCAAAAATGACTCAATCTATATTGAGCAAAGTCCAAAGTGCAACTGAAAAAGCTAACGAATGAGGAGGTACTCAAGCAGAAGAGACTATCAACGCAATTTGAGTAGTTAAGGCCTTTAGACAAGAAAAAATGTGATCAAAAGAGTTTAGCACTCACCTTGAAAAGAAGAGAAGTGATATCATGTCAGCAATATGGCGCTATGCAGGAGCTTTTGCTTGGCTTGAGACGGTTCCATATATCTCATATGCTTATGCCTTTTTAATTGGGGGGTTCTTTATTTCAGAAAAAGTAAGTATATAATATCCTGAAACTTTTATATGTCTTCCTCAGATTATTTCGTGTTTATCTAAATTAATTTGAGAAGAGAATATATGCATTAGAACCCTAAACATTAAGAACATTTGGGTGAATTTTAGATGTATCTCTAATTCAGATTTAGATTCACAATTCTTTTTCAGGAGACCCATATACAGGAGGAGATATTTTTGTCTGCGGGTGATTCGTTAGTGGATTATATTTCTTAGGACATTCTACCAGAAATGTTGCTCTGATGAATAAAGGACTTGAATCAGCATTTAAGGTTTTTGAAATAATAAACAGAGTACCAGAAATAAATTGAGACAGTGAAGCAAATATAGAGATCAGTAAAATATGAGAAAGCATTGCATTTAATAAAGTTGAGTTCAAGTACCCTAATGCTAAAAAGAATGCTTTGAACGGAGTATCGTTTACAATTACAAAGGGCCAAACTATAGCATTGGTTGGATCTTCTGGATCCGGAAAATCTACTATTGCTAAACTTCTTGAAAGGTTCTATGACCCGAGCAGTGGAAATGTTCTCATCGATCAGCAAGACTTAAAATCTGTTAACTTGAGAAAGTACAGACATCTAGTTGGGTATGTTGGACAGGAGCCTTGCTTGTTCAATGAAACCATCAGAGAGAACATGCTCAACTCGTATCCAGATGCAACTGAAGATAACATTATCAAAGCTCTCGAGAAAGCTCATGCTTGGGAGTTTGTTAAAAACCTTAAAGGAAAAATTGACCACTCTGTTGGGTCAGTTGGATGTCTGCTTTCAGGAGGGCAAAAACAAAAAATAGCTATTGCTAGAGCACTTGTCAGAAACCCCCAGCTCTTGATTTTTGATGAAGCAACAAGTGCTCTTGACATTCAAAGCGAAAAGAAAGTTCAAGAAGCCATTGACTCCATTGGAGGAGAGTCCATCACTAAAGTGGTGATTGCCCATAGACTGACAACTATAAAGAATGCAGACACAATCTATGTTCTTGAAGATGGAAAGATTGTAGAACATGGGAATCATGAAAAATTGCTTCAATTAAACCAGGTCTATGCAAGAATGAAGAGAATTCAGGATCAAGCTAACAGGACTAAAGAAATTAACTCTCTTAAGTTTCAAGATCCTGACTTCCTGAAAAATAAAGAAGAAACTAATAATATCGAAGATAAAGACATTCAGCTTTCAGAAGAAATCCCACTAAGATCCTCAAGTTATGATTCAACAAATCCAACATCGGAGGAAGATTTATCCAAAAATATAAATATTTTCTCATTTGTTTTCAATGAGACTCTAAAGTATGCTACTCCTCAGTGGGGCATTATAATCATTATTCTGGGTGCAATCATTTGCCCTGTATGTTTTATAGTTTTCGTATATCCTCTAGCAAAACTTTTGATCACATTCATAACTAATTCATCTGGGACAGAAGTCAAGAATGATATGGCAATTTATTTATCTACAATGTTGGGAATAGGATTGATATCATCAATTGTTCAGTTTGTTTCCAAAGCTATGCTGCATTGGGTGAACACTAACTTAGCTCAAAATGTGAGAAAATCAGTTTATGATAACATTATCAAGCAGCCTCTCCAATTTTTTGATGCAGTATCTCATAGTACTGGAAACTTAACATCTATTCTGTCTTCAACTGTAAAAGAGTTTAATGGTGCAGCAATTGAGACTTATGTCTTTATACTTCAAGGATTAACCGGGATGATCACTGGAATCATCTTTTGCTTTATCTTTGAATGGAATGTTGGATTGATAATGTGCTTGATATGCCCAATTACTTTTCTATCTTTTTCAACAACATTGGCTCTTCAGTTCAGTTTCCAAACTAACAATGATGAAGTGATCAATTCTCAAGATAAAATGATATCCGATTATATTTTAAACTATACTACTGTTTCGTCATTAGCAAATGAAGAATTCATGACAGATAGATATTTTAAACATAAAGAAGATGTAGGCGTGTCTGAAGCAGTTTTCCCTGCCATAGTTTATGCATTTGGATTTTCATGCTACATCTTCTGATACACTTTCATAATTCTTGTATGTGCTCATAATCTGAAGCACGGGCATTCAGCTGACGACCAGATCATGTCTCTTTTAGGGTATTCTATTTCCTTTCTTTCGGCTATCTATATAATGAATAACCCTCCAGATTTTGGAAGAGCATTTAGAGCTGTCAGAAAGGTTGCAGCACTAAAACAATACATCAAGGAAGGAGAACCAGGAAGTTCAATCGTTAATGGAACAGCTAATTTAAATGATGAAGTTATCTCTTACGAAATTGAATTTCATGATGTGTGGTTTAAATACCCTGGTTCCAAGAGATCCAACTGGGTACTTGAAAACTTCAATTTAAAAATTAATCAGGATGAAAGAATTGGATTTATAGGAGAATCTGGATGTGGCAAAAGCACAATTGTTGCCCTCCTAATGCGATTTTATGAACCTCAAGGGGGATATATATCTATTGGAGGTAGAGAAATTGGAGATTTCACATTGGACTCACTCAGAGCTCACTTCGGCTATGTTCAACAAGAACCTATTCTCTTCAACACCACAATCATGGAAAATATCTGCTATGGAAAGCCTCATGCAACACCGGAAGAAATAGAAAGTGCTTCCAAAAAAGCTTATTGTCATGATTTTATTATTGAAAGAGCAAAGGATACTACCAGTGAATTAGTAGTATTTGATGAAGAATCTCAAGACAACAGATTTGATAACTTAGATAAAGGATATAAAGCTCTTTGTGGATCCAGAGGATCTTACTTGTCAGGAGGACAGAAGCAAAGAATTGCTATTGCAAGAGCCATCATTGGAAACCCTAAGGTCCTGATATTAGATGAAGCCACTTCTGCATTGGATGAAGAGTCCCAGAAAGAAGTCCAGAATGCCTTGGATGAGGCTACCGAGAAATGGGCATCAATAGTGATTGCACACAGACTTAGCACATTGCAAAAATGAGATAGAATCGTGACAATCGATAGAGGAGTTATTGTTCAAGATGAAAAGTTAGGAAAATAAAAATAAATAGTCTGATTCCAATATTGATGAGTTTATTCGGGGTTTTGGGGTTTTGGGGTTTTGGGGTTTTGGGG